CAATACACAGCTGGCTCCCTCCACTACTAGCAATACACAGCTGGCTCCCTCCACTACTAGCAATACACAGCTGGCTCCCTCCACTACTAGCAATACACTGCTGGCTCCCTCCACTACTAGTAATACACTGCTGGCTCCCTTCACTACTAGCAATACACTGCTGACTCCTTCCACTACTAGCAATACACTGCTGACTCTCTCGACTACTAGCAATACACTGCCGACTCCCTCCACTACTAGCAACACACTGCTGACTCCCTCCACTACTAGCAATACACAGCTGGCTCCCTCCACTACTAGCAATACACAGCTGGCTCCCTCCACTACTAGCAATACACTGCTGGCTCCCTCCACTACTAGCAATACACTGCTGGCTCCCTCCACTACTAGCAATACACTGCTGACTCCTTCCACTACTAGCAATACACTGCTGACTCTCTCCACTATTAGTGTAGACAGCCTGTACTGTCTGCACAGACAGCCCATGCTGTCTGCCAGCTTAGTTCATATTTCGCGCTATGCTGGTGCTGCCACCTAGGCCTTGCCACTTCAGTATGCCCAGACTTGCCTCGCCCTCACTCACACAGCGGCCTGGCATCAAGACACAAGGCCTCCCAGCTCTCTCTCGTGGGCATGGCCCTCCCGGGCCATGGGCACAAACACACAAGCCTGTGTAACCCAACACTAGCTATCAATAAAGTAAGAAGCCTCCGAAGACGTATCATTTAACCACCCGCTACCAGAATACCAAACAATCCCATTATAAATGGTGACAGCGGTGCTTGTAGCAGTTGTGTTTGCCTGGAGAGAGGGAGGAAGAGGTATGAAGTCATCTTCACTTTCATCACCCTACACAAGAAGCATCTGTCTCTCAACGAGTTATCCTGATGTCGTGTCTGCACGTTTGAGCACCCAGACACAGGTACAAGCAGGATCCAGCCAAAATTTGGCGAAATTCTCCGAGAATTGTAATGGCGTCCCAGTGACCCTACGCTGTTTCTCAGTCACGTGGGTTTAGCGTCACTTGTATGTTGCTATTGTTGTTCACTCAGCACAGCTGTTTCAGCAAGCCAGAGGTGAGTTTTGTGGTGATTTCTGCGTCCAGTGTGTTTCCCTTGTGTTTGTGGGTGGGAGGAGGAACTGCCAGATGCCCGCCCTGCCATACACTCACGCACGCTCCTCGCCACCAGCCTACCATACACCACTCACCACTGCCCACTCCCTCTGCTGTGTTTTCTGCTGTTTTTCGTATGAATTCATTGCCAGTGCTGTGTATCCGAGTGCCCGAGGCCACTCGAAGCTACGTGGATCACGACGTCACGTGGTGTGGGCGATGTCACGTAGACCTACAAAGCCACGTGAGTTACCAGATGTCCCAGCCTCATGCTGTGGTCTGCTGCCCGCATCACATCGACGCCACCCACGATGCTGCCCGACTTCATGACGTCACGATGTCTGCTGACGTCGCCTCACGATGTCTGCCTGACGTCACCTCGAGATGTCTGTTGACATCACTGCTGCTTTACGTCACCTTGCGACATCACACCTGACATCACATGATGTCACATCGAGTGTTCTAGTAATTATTTCAGTATTGTCGAGAAGATTGAGAGAAGATATATGTCGTGTGTTAATTAATTCCTCTCAGTCAGTGTTCTCACATTTTAGTATGTCTTAGTTTTATGCGCAGAAAAGCATCATTTGCTAGTTAAGCCATGTTGTACCGTATGTACAGCGGTGTGTTTGTAAGTTTCCGTGTGTCCAGTGAGGTCTGTGGTCAGACCCTTGAGTTGCACCACTGTGCTAAGTCACCCACGTGACCAGTGTTTGACAGCTGATTTCTCAGCCCTGAGCGTATGAGCCCCCTTGTACAGAAAGCTTTTATGCTCGTCGCTCGTGTTGTTCTGCAGAATCGTACCTGCTACGATTCCCATCGAGATTTGTTTCACTTCACCTCCAGACCGTCAGAGTGCAGTTATATGTAGAGAAACAAGTCTGGGGACGCTTAGGCTAACCTCTGCTATAACTCCAACTGTCGAGAGATGATACTCGTCAAGCCGCAGCCAGCCCTGTCGGCAGGCACTGTGTCAGCCTCGTGTCACAAGCTTCAGTGAGCAGCCTGCACAAAGATGATGTCACTTTGACTGCTAGCTCTCTCACTGCAGTCTGGTGTATGATGTTACGACTCCCAGATGTTTCGCCCAGTCGTCTCTGCCATGACTCGCTCCATGCTCGCCGGCAGTGACGGCCCAGCGACAGTACCAGTCGAGAAGTGTCCTGAGTCGCTTGCCAGAAGTCCTGCCCAGTTGCCGAGTTTTGTCGACGCCTCACTCGAGGGCACAAGCATGTCGTGCCCCAGGTTGAGTGAAAACCTGCAGCGACTCCTACAATGTCTGCTTCACCGTTCCAGAGGAGACCGTACCCTGTTACGTCACAGCTCAGCCGCAGCGATGTCTCCCGTGTTGCAGTATCTGTCCAGACGCAGGAAGGCGTGCAGTGATGCCCATCGACGCTCACTGCCTATGACCACGATGTTTAGCACACCCCATGTTTTTTTTCTTCCCTCCCTGTAGGAAGTTTTTTTTTTCCATGTCCATAATGTATATATATGTTTTTATTTTGTGTTCTGTGCCCTGTTCCTACAAGAGAGAGAGACCGAGTTTCTTTTACTACCAGTATTGTCGCGTCGGGACGACGCGCGGTAGGTGGCCGAGCGTATGTAGACAGCCTGTACTGTCTGCACAGACAGCCCATGCTGTCTGCCAGCTTAGTTCATATTTCACGCTATGCTGGTGCTGCCACCTAGGCCTTGCCACTTCAGTATGCCCAGATTTGCCTCGCCCTCACTCACACAGCGGCCTGGCATCAAGACACAAGGCCTCCAGCTCTCTCTCGTGGGCATGGCCCTCCCGGGCCATGGGCACAAACACACAAGCCTGTGTAACCCAACACTAGTTATCAATAAAGTAAGAAGCCTCCGAAGACGTATCATTTAACCACCCGCTACCAGAATACCAAACAAGCCCATTATATTAGCAATACACTGCTGACTCCCTCCACTACTAGCAATACACTGCTGACTCCCTCCACTACTAGCAATACACTGCTGACTCCCTCCACTACTAGCAATACACTGCTGACTCCCTCCACTACTAGCAATACACAGCTGACTCCCTCCACTACTAGCAATACACAGCTGACTCCCTCCACTACTAGCAATACACAGCTGACTCCCTCCACTACTAGCAATACACTGCTGATTCCCTCCACTACTACAATACACTGCTGATTCCCTCCACTACTAAGCAATACACAGCTGACTCCCTCCCACTACTAGCAATACACAGCTGACTCCCTCCACTACTAGCAATACACTGCTGATTCCCTCCACTACTAGCAATACACAACTGACTCCCTCCACTACTAGCAATACACAGCTGACTCCCTCCACTACTAGCAATACACTGCTGATTCCCTCCACTACAAGCAATACACTGCTGATTCCCTCCACTACTAGCAATACACTGCTGACTCCCTCCACTACTAGCAATACACAGCTGACTCCCTCCACTACTAGCAATACACTGCTGATTCCCTCCACTACTAGCAATACACTGCTGATTCCCTCCACTACTAGCAATACACTGCTGATTCCCTCCACTACTAGCAATACACAACTGACTCCCTCCACCACTAGCAATATACTGATGACTTCCTCTGACACTTAAGTCAACTACAATTCAGCCCTTTCATATACCATAAAGTTTAACTGATGTGTGGGGCGAAATGTTGAAGGGTGAAATGCTAAAGGGTGAAATGCTAAAGGGTGAAATGCTAAAGGGTGAAATGCTAAAGGGTGAAATGCTGAATGGTGAAATGTTGAAGAGTGGAGTGTATAGAGGGCAAAATGTCTGAAAGAAGTGCTGGTGAGTGAGGGGAAAATTATGTAGTAGAGGTGACCTCAACATAATGGTAATCTAATAACATTTTGTCCTCCCTCAAGCCAGTACAATATTACATTACAGCTACATCATGCATATATCAAATTTATCTGACATTCAGGAATGCAGAGCTAAGCATTGCTGTGTGAGAATTCATGTATTCATTGGAAGAGTCATACAGCACCTGAGGAATGAGATTTAATGAGATATGATCCAATTCAGGTTTGATCCAAAGAAGAGATGGTGGAGTACCTCTACCAGCATCAAGGCTTTCCACTCGAGGGTATGGAAGGGAGATGTAATTTGCTGATACGTACCACAGGATGTTATACAAAATTGGTTGTTTTTAAGAAATGTAGAAGAAAACAGGGCTTATGTGAAGGGCACACCAAAGTATGTTATATAATTATTTTTATTTTTCAAGAAGAGGAAGCCAAGTGTTTCTCTGTCTTTCCGCCAACACCCACCACTACTCATCAATACAAGACTCACGAAATCGTAATGACATGATTGCAAACAAACCATACCACGGGTTGGGTTTGAACCCACGGTCAGAGAGTCTCAAAACTCCAGACCGTCGTGTTAGCCACTGGCCCAGTGGCTAACGCGACGGTCAGGAGTTTTGAGACTCTCTGATCGCGGGTTCAAACCCCACCCGTGGTATGGTTTGGTTTCCATCAACACAACTTTGTTTAATATATATACACCAGAGCGAAACGATAGTTACTGGAGCAAGGGAGAACTGGGGAAGTAACAGCCATTCCCCACATTAGAGCGAGGTGCTGACAACTACGCTATGGCACTCCTCAAATGGCCAGAAATTATGAGTGTAGCAACTTCCACAAATAGATGAGTTTAGATGTAGTGAATACAGGGCTACAGTACATAATGGAATATTTTTGAAAATTATCGGGAAAATAGTTAATGTAATTTACATTCATAGTACAGCATGAGCAGATTTATATTATACATACATCTATGTGTTGGCAAAATAGTGCGCTTTATTACATACAATATTTCATAAAATTAGACCTTTTTTACGGATTTTTAAATACAACTGCCCAGTTGGTCCTCTTAAATTGTATTAAAATGTGCACAAAACAATATGAAAAAGTGGTGTCTACAAGACCACTTTGTATCACATCTAAAACATTTAATCCAGCATCTAACACCTAAACTTCTCAACTTACCTGCCGCTGCAGCAGCAGCAGCTGCTGCCGCTGCTGCTGCCGCTGCTGCTGCTGCTGCTGCAGCTGCTGCTTGCTGCTCTAGTTGTTGTTTCTGTTGCTCCAATGCCTGAATCTGGCCTGTTGCATGCTGCACGAAGGCATTATGCTGTTGCTTATAACCCTGAAAGAAGATAGAAATATATACCATCAATATTCCTTGCAAAACAGACTGAAAATACAAATACAATAATGATGAGCCACAATATGCTTAACCCTTTCAGGGTCGTGCCGTAGTTCTATGGCTATGAGTTGTGGGTCCAAACCATAGAACTATGCCAAAATTCTAGTGGCCTTAAATTTAGCGCAAGAAGGCTGGTAGGCCTACATCTAAGAGAATGGGTCTGTGTGGTGTGTGTGCACTGTAAACAAAAATTCTAGGCACCTGCATGGCATTGTGGGAACGCCGCCTCAGTAAGCTTTGTTCACCATGCCTCGCGGCACAGCAGCTCCCACTCCGAGGCGAACTGGGACTCTCCTCTTCCTAACTGATAGTTCTGACTCTGATGGAAGTGAAAATGAAGAGGAATTCTATGGTTTTGATCAATTAGTGACCGAAAGCAATGATCAGGATATCGAAAATACAGTGGACCCCCGCATACCGGACGCCTTGCATAACGGACAATCCGCATACGGGACGCTTTGATCGCTAAAATTTTGCCTCGCATACTGCCCAAAAACCCGCTCAGCGCCCTTCGTCTGAGACGCGTCCAATGTGCGGCCTGAGCCACACTCACATGTTCCGCCGGTGGCATTGTTTACCAGCCAGCCTCCGCGGTAACATCCAAGCATACAATCGGAACATTTCGTATTATTACAGTGTTTTTGGTGATTTTTTTCTGGAAAATAAGTGACCATGGTCCCCAAGAAAGCTTCTAGTGCCAACCCTACAGCAATAAGGGTGAGAATTACTATGGAGATGAAGAAAAAGATCATTGATAAGTATGAAAATGGAGTGCGTGTCTCCGAGCTGGCCAGGTTGTATAATAAACCCCAATCAACCATTGCTACTATTGGTGGTACAGCTGCTGCTGCTGCTGTACCACCGTCAGCTGCTGCTGCACTGTCAGCTGCTGCTGCACTGTCAGCTGCTGCTGCTGTACCACCGTCAGCTGCTCCTGCTGCTGTAGTACCGTCTGCTGCTGCTGTAGCATTGTCTGCTGCTGCTGTAGCATCGTCTGCTGCTGCTGTAGCATCGTCTGCTGCTGCTGTAGCATCGTCTGTTGCTGCTGTAGCATCGTCTGTTGCTGCTGTACCACCGTCAGCTGCTGCTGCTGCTGTAGCATCGTCTGCTGCTGCTCCTGCTGTAGCATCGTCTGCTGCTGCTGTAACATCGTCAGTTGCTGCTGTAGCATCGTCTGCTGCTGCTGTAGCATCGTCTGTTGCTGCTGTAGCATCGTCTGTTGCTGCTGTAGCATCGTCTGTTGCTGCTGTACCACTGTCAGCTGCTGCTGCTGCTGTAGCATCGTCTGCTGCTGCTGCTGCTGCTGTAGCATCGTCTGCTGCTGCTGTAACATCGTCAGTTGCTGCTGTAGCATCGTCTGCTGCTGCTGTAGCATCGTCTGTTGCTGCTGTAGCATCGTCTGTTGCTGCTGTACCACCGTCAGCTGCTGCTGTACCACCGTCAGCTGCTGCTGCTGCTGTAGCATCGTCTGCTGCTGCTGTAACATCGTCAGTTGCTGCTGTAGCATCGTCTGCTGCTGCTGTAGCATCGTCTGTTGCTGCTGTACCACCGTCAGCTGCTGCTGCTGCTGTAGCACCGTTGTTGGTGTGGCTTATTGAGAATACCAAGAAACAATTAACCCCAGAGATTTGCCACCCAGGATAGCCCAAAAAGTCAGTGTCATCGAAGACTGTCTAACTTATTTCCATTGGGGTCCTTAATCTTGTCTCCAGGATGCAACCCACACAGTCGACTAACACCCAGGTGAACAGGGAAAATGCCTGGAACTAGTGCTCATATTGGTGAATTTAGAGCCAGCAAAGGTTGGTTTGAGAGATTTAAGAATCGTAGTGACATACACAGTGTGATGAGGCCTGTTCTGGAAGAAAATACCAAACAGGACCTACAGTACTCAGGAGGAAAAGGCACTCCCAGAACACAGTGTCTCATCAGTCATTGCTGCATCTTCAATAAAGGTAAGTGTCATTTATTCTTCATTTAGTAGAGTAGTACATGCACAATATATATTGTGCATGTACTACTCTACTATTGTGCATGTATCCTTCTCTTTGTGTGTAGGAAAATGTATATTTCATGTGGTAAAAATTTTTTTTTCATACTTTTGGGTGTCTTGCACGGATTAATTTGATTTCCATTATTTCTTATGGGGAAAATTCATTCGCATACCGAACATTTCGCATAACAGCCAGCCCTCTTGCATGGATTAAGGTCGCTATGCGGGGGTCCACTGTAGTGTGGAAAATCCTGGCAATCCTCAACCTTCCACCTCTGGTGTGGGCACGTCTCGGTCACGTTCAGTTGTACCTCGTCGCAAGAGAAAACTAATATTTTTGCGTGGCCAGGCCTCAGACTTGAATAATGGTGATGATAGTGATGTGGATTTTGATTTTAATGCTCTTGATGACCATTCGAGCAGTGATAGTGATGAATCATATTCACCAGTGAAGCATCAGTATATATGTCGCCACATGCACTCGGGTAGTGTCCCATATGCAGTGCCAAGGGAACGGAGTACATCCCATGGCACTACACCAGGAACAGACAGTAAAAGTGAGGATGATGTGGCTACACTTGGCATGGGTAGACCATAGGCATCAGTAAGTGGTGGTAATGGTGGTGATGGTGGTGGTGGTGGTAGTGCCATGGCCACGCATGACTCACCAGCCCAGGCTGTGACACATGCCACTGACTCATCAGATCCAGGACAAAGTGGAGCATCATCCACCACCACACCACAACCACAACTACAACCACAACAAGCTTACTATATCCAGTATCCACCAGCAAGCCACATCTGAGACTGGCAGCAAAATCCCAATTTTGTTCCCAATCCCCATCAGTTTGACAACTCTCCAAGTGGAATCCTACCAGCTTGTTCCCTTGGCAACACTGCAAATGAACTGGAATTCTTTGAACTATTCTTTGACCAGCCCTTGAGGGCAATTACTGTCAGGGAAAGTAAAAAGTATTTTGAGTACACCATGGCAAATATGATCATATCACCACAGTTAAGACTACACCGGAGGAAAGAGACAACTGAGGCTGAAATGTATTTGCTTTTTGCAACAATAATGATTATGCCTCATGTCTATAAGCATAATATAAAATCATGCTGGTCCACAAATCGGCTAATTTGTACCCCGGCCTTCAGTGAAATCATCCCAGTGAACAGGTTTATCTTACTGTGACATATGTTGCACTTCTCTGACAAAACCAGGCCTGACAGAAATAACAGGTTATACAAGATTAGAAATGTTTTTATGCATCTGAAACAAAAGTTCAACATGTACTTTTATTCATTCAAGAATCTTGTAATTGACGAGTCTTTGATTTTGTTCAAAGGTAAACTGTCATTCAAGCAGTATATACCAAGCAAGAGGAAACGCTTTGGTATAAAACTGTTTGTACTCTGTGATTGTGACAGTGGCCTGGTATTGGATATAATCGTATACACAGGAAGTAAAACATTGAAAGGTACCAGGTTGTTATTGGGTATGTCAGGTGACGTAGTGAGAAACATGATGGCACTTTATCTTGGTAAGGGGCATACATTATATACTGATAACTAGTACACAAGCCCTTTACTCAGTGATTTCTTGCGAGTGAACATGACAGATGTGTGTGGCACAGTGCGTTCTAATCATAAACATATACCCAGGTTCAACACAGGCAATCATGGTGGTGAGGTACAAGTGTTTTCTGCCAATGACATCACGGCATTACGGTGGCATGACAAACAAGATGTCACATTATTGACAACCATTCATCGTAACGAGATGAAAGGCAGTGGCAAAGTTGATAAGACTGACTAATGAACCTATTCTAAAACCAGTAACAGTGATTGATTATACACAAAACATGCATTTGGTTGACAAATGTAACATGCAGAGTGGCTTTGTTGGTTGTGTTCGTAAGAGTTACAAGTGGTACATGAAACTTTTCTTCCATCTCATGGACATTTCAATGCAAATAATATGTACCGAATATAGACCGGCAACAGACCACCGAATGGTGAATTTTGTCTGTCTGTCAACAGACAACTAATAATGAAGTACCAGATAACAACATCTGCAATACAGAACTGTCCTCGAACTCCTCAGAAAATACCCAAGCGTTTGAGGAGGGAAGGTGATCACTTCCTAATACAGCTTCCTGCAACTAAGAAGAAATGGGGTCAGAAGAGATGTGTTGTCTATGCACAAACAAAACGATGGGAAAAAAGACGCAAAGACAATTGGTTTATGTGCGAGGAATGTAAGATACCACTGTGAATGATACCTTGTTTCAAAGACTTCCACAGACTGCAGCAGTTCTAGAAACATGTCCAGTGGCTGTAAATATGTAAATATATAATAGAACATTCATAATATACAACATATGTGCATGTTTGTTGTAAAAAATACTGGTAAACAATCTTATAATAATAACTTTAGTGTGGTTATTGTGTTCATTACAGTGAGCGTATAATTTTTGTTTTTTTTAACAAGTCGGCCGTCTCCCACCGAGGCAGGGTGACCCAAAAAGAAAGAAAAATCGCCAAAAAGAAAATACTTTCATCATCGTTCAACACTTTCACCTCAATCACACATAATCACTGTTTTTGCAGAGGTGCTCAGAACACAACAGTTTAGAAGCATACACATATAAAGATACACAACACATCCCTCCAAACTGCTGACATCCCGAAACCCCTCCTTTAGAGTGCAGGCATTGTACTTCCCATTTCCAGGACTCAAGTCCGGCTATATAAAAATAACCGGTTTCCCTGAATCCCTTCACTAAATATTACCCTGCTCACACTCCAACAGATCGTCAGGTCCCAAATACCATTCATCTCCATTCACTCCTATCGAACACTCTCATGCACGCCTGCTGGAAGTCCAAGCCATGCGTGTTGTAAAAGTCAACTAAAATGCAGGGAACAATGGGCTAGTAACCCC